AATGATTTGTCACTCTTTAATTTGATAAAGTTCTTTATGCTTCAAATACAGACTCCAGCTTTAAATATTAATAAATCTCACTAAGCAGGAATCAAATCCTCAACCCTTCATGAATTAATTATCACAGTTTTAAAACTCCAATTTTACAAAGCAAATCATAAAATGTAAAATGGTTTTTCCAAATCATATCTTCTTTTTTGTATTAATTCGTATGACTAAAAGTTTTATGTCTATTAAATTAAGCATTAGCACTATAAAGTTTTCTAGTTCTTGGTATTACATAATTTCAACTGTACAGTTTTACAATCAACTTATTTTTTTATCGAAGTGCTGTATTTGAATAGTATAAAAGCAAATACTGTTAACATTTTTACAGAACAGCCATCCTTTTTCTTTACCTTTCTACCACCATCATTTACCCAATAACTAATTTTGGCTTTGAAGCTGTTTTCTCTGTTCTTACTTTTTGGATTCTAAATAGTATATATTTCCCTGGTCTCATCCGAATAGACTTATCTGTTGACTTCCAATTGACAGATAATAAAGATTTTAGTTAATTTGTACCCTCTTTGCCTTCCACCAACCTGTCAATAAAATTATATCTCAGTATGTGTTAAGCCTGTGTGTTCAGTGTTTTCATAATTTGACTCGAGATGTAGTTTGTATCTGCTCTAGAGTCAAGTAGCAAGATTGACATGTCCCTTCTTACATAACTTGTTTTTTTTTCTGGAATTTATAATTACCGTATTTTAAAAAACATTCTCTCATTTTCTTTGACTAACTGACAAATATTCCCACATTCTCTGTAGGATACCTTAAACCAAGTATGTTAAATACATGAAGAGGCCTGTGCCCTCGTGGGTCCTACCAGCCACTCCACCTCCTGGTCCAGTCCGGAGGCCTCGGTGGGCCTGGTCTCTGTTGCTTTGGGGCTTCCATTTCATCACCCTGGGGATTTTCTTTGCCTCCATTGGATTCTGTTTCCTCAACTCCATGTACTCCAAAGCCGTCTTCTAAATTGAGTCCCTCTGTCTGACCACGTGTGTGTGTGTATACGTACGTGTGTGTACGTGTGGGGGGGGCACTTGGACCTATTTCAAGTAACCTGAGGAAAGTGATTGAGAACACAATTTCAGAGGCCAGAGAGTCTAAGCTGTTCTACCTTTTCACTTGATAGAAAGTCTGGATAACCGTGAGATTGTTGGTTAAAAAATAATTTTCACTTGGTAATTTGGAAGTGTAGCTTGATTATCTCCTGCCTCCCATTTGAGATAGTTTAATGCCATTTTGCTTAAAAATATCTTGGGGCCGG